ACTCGGCCTCATAAGGAGTTAAACATCGAAGAAGGGGAAGCGAGTATGACCTCTTATACAGGGTACCATCCATCAACATGTACCGAGATGCCTTCCTTCGCAACTTCATCTCCTCTTGCTTGTCAGTTGGGACAGTCCCATCCTGGAGATAGGCTTTAATGGGATCGGTCCAGCTGGGGGCTTCGGGATCGGTGCTGATGTCCATCACTTGCGACCTCTGGAAGCTTGGTTCGTCTAGGACCTCGACAAAAACTGACCTCAGTCCACTTGAGAAGTCGGAAGCTAACTTTGATAGCGAATCAGCATGGCCGTTTTCGAACCTCGAGATTTTGATGAGTCGAAACCTTTCAAATTGGCTTTGGAGCTTCAGAACCACAGCTAAGTATTTTGCTTGGGTGGGGTCTGTGACCTCGCATGTAGAGTTAACTTGGTTGACGATGAGTTGTGAGTCACTGTAAACTTGTAGAGATCTGACCTTTAACTCAGCTGCTAAGCGAAGTCCGAGAAGGAGTGCCTCATATTCGGCCATATTATTTGTTGCTTCGAAATTAAATTTCAAGGCATGCTCACTTCGGAAGCTTCCTGGCCCCATCAACACCGCTCCGGCCCCTGACCCTCTACTGCTTGAGGACCCATCCACATAGAGGGTCCATTGCTCGGCTTCAGAAGCGACGGTTTCGGAGGTTGAGGTGCATTCAACGATGAAGTCTGCCAAGGCTTGAGCTCGAATTGATGACCTCTGTTGAAATGTTATTTGAAATTCCCCCAACTCCACTGCCCATTTGATAAGTCTGCCCGAGCATTCCGGCTTTTGCAAGATCTGCCTGAGGGGTTGGTCGGTTAACACCACAATGGGGTGAGCCTGAAAATAGGGTCTCAATTTTCGTGCCGTGGTGACCACTGCTAAAGCTGCTTTTTCTGCAATGGAGTACCGCAGCTCAGCTCCTTGTAGAACCCTACTGGCATAGTAAACCGGCTTCTGCTGTTTGTCTGCCTCTCTGATTAAGACCGAGCTTACTGCCGCGTCTGAGATTCCGAGATAGAGGTAAAGGATTTCGCCTTCCACGGCCTTGGTTAGCAAAGGTGGTGAACCGAGGTAGGACTTAAGGTCATTGAAGGCGGTTTGGCACTCTGAGGTCCATTCGAACTTCTTAAGTTTCCCTGTTTCATCTTTATGGGCCACGGATCTCAGGATTTTGAAGAAGGGTAAACATTTTTCTGCAGACTTCGACACAAACCTATGCAGAGCTCCAATTCTCCCAGCTAGGCGCTGCACATCCTTAATCGATTTCGGGGGCTTCATCTCTTCTATCGCCTTGATTTTCTCAGGGTTGACTTTGATCCCTCTCCTGGAGACCATGAACCCAAGGAATTTACCGGATTCAACACCAAAGACGCACTTGGCTGGGTTCAATCTCATGCGGTGTGTTCTGAGGTTGTTGAATGTTTCTGCCAGGTCAGTTAGGTGGTCCTCTGCCTTGAGGCTTTTGACTACTATGTCGTCAACATAGACTTCGAGATTTCTACCGATCTGAGCTCGGAACACAATCGTCACCATCTTCTGGTATGTGGCCCTAGCGTTCTTGAGCCCGAAGGGCATCATTACATAGCAATAGATCTCGTCGCCTGCGTAGAAAGAGGTCTTTACCTCGTCCTCGGGGGCCATGTGGACCTGGTGATACCCTGAGTAAGCATCCAAAAGGCTAAGTCGTTCATTTCCGGACGCGGATTCCACCAGCCTATCGATACTCGGTAGGGGATGGCAGTCCTTGGGGCAAGTGTCATTCAGATTCGTGTAGTCAACACACATTCTCCATTGGCCGTTTGACTTCTTGACTAGAACGGGATTGGCAACCCATTCACAGTAGTCTACCCTCCTTACAAACCCGGCTTGCAGGAGTTTCTGTACCTCTGCCTTGATGGTTTCCAATCGCTCTCCGCTGAACAGGCGTCTTTTCTGGGCTACGGGCTTCTTCAAGGGGTGAGTGCTTAACTTGTGGACCGCAACCGAGGTGGGTATGCCGGGCATATCAGCTGAGGTCCAAGCAAACACGTCTCTGTTTGATTTGAGGAAGTCAATGAGCTCTGCCCGGTCTTTAGAGCTCAGCTTGGTGCCGATCTTCGTCTTTTTAGTGGGATCATTGCTGTCAAGCTGCACCTCTTCCACCTCTTCTGCCGGAGTGGCCCTGGCTTCGTCATCAGGTCTGTTATCCAGCAGTTCCACACCCATTACTTGCTGCGTGGGTGGGACTTCGGGCTAAGTTGGCTCTGGGTTTGGTACTTGTTTGTCCTTCCGGGGTCGGGAGACCGAAGTCATGTAGCAGTGCCGGGCTATCTCTTGATTTCCCCTCAACGTCGCCACGCCCGTGGGGGTAGGAAATTTAAGGCAGAGGTGGGATGGTGAGACAACTGCCCTAATTTCAGTCAGGGTTGGCCTTCCGATGACGATGTTAAAGGATGACGCCATCTTTACTACCAAAAATCAGATTGAGGGGGTTACATAGGCTCGACCTGAGCCAAATGCTACATTAAGTTTGAGGATTCCTTCCACAGGCACTGGCTGATTGTTGAAGTCGTAGATGGGGCCGTCATACTTCTGTAGAAGGGCAGGATCGAGGCCAAGGCTTTCGAAGCAGTGGTAGTACATGATGTCCGGAGCACTCCCTGTGTCTACAAGGACGCGCTGAACTTCGCAATTATTGACCATGACCGAGGTGACCAACGCGTCATTGTGTGGTGTGATGACACCATCAAAATCAGCGGAGCTGAATGTTATGGGTTGGTTCTTCCAATCTACCTCGTCAAATTTCCTTTTTGGAGCCCGGTTGGGATGCTTCACCTCTCGCACATACAGCTTCTGCTGCTTTGAGCTCGTCCCTCCGGCTTCCAACCCTCCTGTTATCATATGAATGATGCGCGAGGGCAGAGGGAGCGGGGGTGGTGCTTGTTCATATCCGACTCCAAGTCGGTTGTTTGTATCTCGGGATGATTGGGGTCGCCCCTGCTCCCGGACGAATTTTAGTTGGTCTCTGTTAGAAATGTACTCGTTTAGCAACCCTTTCCGAGCTAAACCCTCAAGCTCGGACTTCAAGCTGTTGCATTCCTCCGTGATATGCCCGTGATCCTGGTGGAAATCACAATATCTACTCTGATTTCTTGAGGCGGGTGAGCTTCGCATAGGAAGAGGCCTTCTGAGCTCCATTTTATTTTTGATCTGCATTAAGATCTGTGACCTCGGCAGGTTAAACGGAGTCTAGGCAACTTGCTTCGTCATGGGCTGCGGGGTAGGTACTGGAGGTCTGTCTAGTTTAGGTGGGAAGGGACCTCGGTATTGTGTAGGCTTAAATCTCTTCTGGTTCCGTGGTTCATCTCTCCAGGTCGGAGGTCTTACCTCCTTATTTGGGGCTGGCTTGGCAGACAAAGCATATTCTTCGGCTTTGATAAACTTCCAGGATCTTTCATTGGCCTCATCAAACGTGGAAGGGGCATGCTTTATGAGGCTATCCCGAAACCTGTCATGCTTGAGGCCTTGGGTTAGTGCAGCTAACCCGACAGCTTGGCTAAATGAGCCAATTTCCAGCA